GTGCACCTTATACAGGTGGTAAATTCGATACTCTCCGCAAACAATCTTTGTTGTCAACTACAATTAATTTCATATGTAATACCAATCATAATGTTACTCAAGTGGCACTTGCCAATATTTCCTACAATAAAGTTTATAATGTAAATCAAACTTTATAATGTCTTGGTAGAAACCAATTAAAAGGGGAGCTGGTAAACATGGAAGAAGGGGTCAAGAACAATGACATAACTTTTGACTGACGACCGCGACATTAGGGGATCGTATTGCGCGGCCCGCGACGATCCATTTGGCACACGAACGTGTGAAGGGGAGGGAATGTGGCCGAAACACAGCCCGATCGTGTTACGATCAAGCTACAGCTGAGCTTGTGGGGCAGTGCAGACAGAAGACCAACGGACCTTACGAATTCTATCCATTTTTTTTTCAGGCACGATAAATTTATTCTCATTATGTTGGAGAGGAAGTGGCTTCCAAAGAACCCACCCCAAATACGGCGAGCTTAGCCGGCAGCCAGCGTGCCTGCTCAGGACGCAACTTCCTCGGCCCAAGTCCTTCTCAGGACTGGGGCACTAATATGCCGACGTAACAATATTTTTAGGTGAATTCAAAAATGATATTTTTATTTTCTGCAATTTTTAAGTAACGTAATAAAATAAAATGTTTACCATATAGAAAATCAAAAGATGATATGTTAATATTTACATGCAAAATATAATAAGTAGACATCGGATTTTAGGTGAAATCGATTTTTTTAAATATGATTTAAGGCCACATTTGATTGGTTAAAATTTTTTTACAAAAACCTCAAATAAGTTTTGCCAAAATTTATTTATAACTTAATAAATAAAATTTGTAACCAATTAAATGTGGCTTTAAATTGTACATAAAGAAAACGATTTCACCTAAAATCCGATGTCTAATAATAAGTATTTTTTTAACTTTTTTAAAATTTATTTTTAAAAAAACCCAATTTCCATATTACATTTTAATCATTCACTAATAAAAAATGTCAATCGTTAAACAATATTTACACAATTGTATGCTCAACAATGATAGTATTAATAGTCGATTAAAAAAGTTTTAAAATGGGATAGGTTAAATGAGCTAATGTAAAAAAACATATTGAGAAGCTAGGTTATTCCTTTCAATAATAAAAAATTCTTTCTATTTTTCAACAACTCCTATTTTTATACCCTTGCAGAGGGTATTATGATTTCAGTCAGAAGTTTGCAACGCAGTGAAGGAGACGTTTCCGACCCCATAAAGTATATATATTCTTGATCAGCATCACTAGACGAGTCGATCTAGCCATGTCCGTCTGTCCGTCTGTCCGTCTGACCGTCTGTCCGTCTGTCCGTCTGTCCGTCTGTCTGTTTCTACGCAAACTAGTCTCTCAGTTTTTGAGCTATCGGGATAAAACTTTCCCAAAAGTCTTCTTTCTATTGCAGGTAGTATATATGTCGGAGCCGACCGGATCGGACAACTATATCTTATAGCTCCCATAGGAACAATCGGAAAAAAAAAAACTTTAAAAAATTCTAACTTCGGTGTTTTTTGAAATATTACCTTCTACTTTTGGGGATGTTATTTTTTTAATATTTCTGAATTTCGAATAAATTATTTAAAAAATCGGACTACTATATCATATAGCTGCCATAGGAACGATCGGAAAATTAATGGAAAAGTAATAGGAAATAAATTCTAGCTTCTTTGGTTTTTGTTGTATTATCTTCTACTCTAGAATATGACTCTTTTTAAATATTTCCGAATTTCAATTTTAATTTTATCGAAATCGGACGACTATATCATATAGCTGCCATAGGAACGATCGGAAAATTAATGGAAAAGTAATAGGAAATAAATTCTAGCTTCTTTGGTTTTTATTGTATTATCTTCTACTCTAGGATATGACTCTTTTTAAATATTTCCGAATTTCAATTTTAATTTAATCAAAATCGGACGACTATATCATATAGCTGCCATAGGAACGATCGGAAAATTAATGGAAAAGTAATAGGAAATAAATTCTAGCTTCTTTGGTTTTTATTGTATTATCTTCTACTCTTGGATATGACTCTTTTTAAATAATTCCGAATTTCAATTTTAATTTGATCAAAATCGGACGACTATATCATATAGCTGTCATAGGAACCATCGGAAAATTAATGATAAATATTAGAAAATTGAACATTTTTGCGATTTGTTAATTAATAGGAATGATCTGCAAGGGTATATAAGCTTCGGCTGGCCGAAGCTAGCTTCCTTTCTTGTTGGTCCCTGAATTCTACATATCCTAAATCATATTTTTAGAAAATCAAAAAAACATATAATTCAAAATCCTTCTATAAATAGTGCAACTTTGAGAGTTTAGTATCTTTTGCACTATAGCCAGCCGGCTGCTCGTAAATAAGCAAACTTGACTAAACGAACGCCCACAAAGACGAGCTTAGGCCCAAGAGTGATCTACGCCTATTGTGAATAATTTTTAAAGACTGCCAAGAACCCCATAAACATATGGCCATTATACTGAACGCTTTGGCTAATGGCCCGCCTGCCACTAAGCCCACTGAGGTTGAGGTGAGGAATATATGTTTTCGCTCTTCCCCGGCCAAAAAGAGCTGCAGTTCCAATGAGCTCGTAAAACTCAGCCGAGCTTCTTTCGGTGCTTAGTGATGTCTTAGATGGAACTACAAGTACTGCTCCCGCTGGTCATTAGGCGATATGGCGGCACGCACCCAATGGAACTTGGAGTTGGAGCCACGGTCATTTGTGCCGACGAATGGGGCGTCACTTAAGCCAATGCTAATTTCCATAATGCACGCCTTGATGGCGGCCAACAGGTCCCAAGCTCTGCAAATAAACAGTGGGGGCTAGTATTATAGGTCTAGGGTTTGCTTATTTTATTTAAATTATTTTCTTGATAACCCAGCAATACAAGTGTTCTTATATAATCTTTAAATTATTTAATTAATTTATTTTTTTTGGGTTCTTTATATTTAATTAACTAATATCTTTTTGTAGTTTCTCATTATTATTAATACACAATTCTTTTATTTATTTATTTTTATATTAAACATTAAATATTTAGTACAGGAAATTAAATCTACATGAAAATTCAATATCAATAAATTGTTGTACATTTTTTTATGAGAAAATTTAATATATGTTTTTAATTCCTTTTTTGTTCCGGCAAAATACTTATTTTCCTATTTTTCTACCCTCAACCATAAATTTTTGTAGGCGAAATAAATGGCTAGGTAATCATGGAAGTTTAGCTTTACCACGCGACACGTCAAGTGCGGGCGGGTAATATTCTGAAATATATAAAATGAGTATTTCGCAATCAAATGAAAGCCAAAATCCAATTTAAGATCACCTCCAGTTGACACCTCTTGCCGATCAGCGAATCCACTGCCTAGAGACTCCACTTGCTTTTTCTTTGACTTTGACTTTGGCCCTGGCGATTTAATGGCTTTGCAATTGGCCTGACCCATCTCTTGGCCAACTGCCAGGTGATCGTGGCCAGTGGACTGCGGTTCGTGGAGCGGAGCAAGGAGCCTTTCCGCTGTCCCCGGCAACATGAGTATGATTTATTGTAGTTTATGTTGCCGGAACAGCTTCTGCCCGCGGTTCGTGATGGCTTTGCTGTGGCTTCGTTAGTCGCAGTCCTGGGATCTGGATGGTTTGGAATACTCTTTTAGGGGGTATTTTTAATACGTTATACATCAGGAATACCGCAGTTTTTGATTATAATTGTATTTTACATTAAATAAAACTTTAGAATCGGACTACCACATTATTATGGTCGAGAAGATAAAAAATTTACAATTTATTATTCGAAGATAAGACTAATATCATTGTTATAATTTTTATATTATGATTTACATATATTTAAATTTTTGAATATACATAGAAAATTTTTAATTTAATTAGTTAATTCATTTTTGAATTTTTAAGGGTATTTCTAGATACGATCCCGAAATCTCTTCAAACTCTTTCGTTTTTCGTGCTCTGATCCTGCACTTGGCCGTGCTTATGTGTATCATTTTTCTTGGCCAGCGGCTGGGATCCTAGGTTATTGTATTTTTATATTATTTGTGCTTAATTTGCGGAGCCTACATATTCGTGGGCAAGGAGCAGTGGGAGCTGTGCACCTGATCCGCCGAGTGTTGTGACTTTTGTGGCCGCTGGACAAGTTCGTTGATTTGCGGCAGGCAAATGACCATATACTCCTCAGCTTTTTGTGGGCAGGAGCACTTGGGCTATTAGCCTGATATTCTTCCTCCTCCTCATGGTCTTCGCTGCTCCTCCTCCTCTGCTTTAGCGGCCATTCCTTTTGTCAATTCCCAGAGACATTTGCCTGGCCAAAGAACGAGATTTATGTTAGTCGGGTGTCATTTTAAGTTAATGGGTTATACTCCCCAACTAGTTTTTTTTCAGCTTTTTTTATAGATGAGCCTTTTTTGTGCGTTTTAGTTTTGCCATTTTTTTTGTATTTTTTGCACAGTTTTAATCTTTTTTTCTACTTTTCTTCGCCAGCTGCAGGTGAATTTTCTTAAATTTATGACTGTTGCTTTTAAATTGCTTTATGGCAATTTCCGTGGCACCCACACAAGTCAGGCATTAATTTATCAGAAAAGCGTAATAAACAGGTTTGTTTGATTTTACAGTTTTAGGATGATTGCTGAATAACTTTTGAAGAAAAAATTTATAGATAATAGAAAACTTATTTTACTTTTAAAGTAAATTTAACTCCTAAGCGCCATGGTTTTTAATAAAATAAGGTGGCAACTCTGGCTTTCAAGCATTTCAACGGTTTAGGGAATCCCCTAAAATATGTCAGGAAATGAAAAGTTCAAATAAGCTGTAATCGATAGTTATATCGGAACTTTTTGTTGATAGTGCTGCAAAGCGACGTCCGTCACGTGTTATTTTTTTGAAGTTCCTGAAAATTTCAGAAATAAGCTGTGAGTTTTTTATAAAAATCCCGAGTAGACGATATGAAGCGCCATATTACTAACATATTCGACGACAAGGAAAAGTCCCCACGTCCACCGACTCCTCCGCTCTACCAATCGCCCATATCCTCGCCGGAACCTTCGCCGATCCCGAATGGTTTTCCCATCTTGTACGTGGATGTGGTGAAGAAGAACAAGCCAAATGTGGAGATACTGCTGCCGCCGCCACCGCCCCAGGTGACTCCACCCCCCGAGTTTAGTATTTTCCGGGAGGATTTTCCGGCCCTACCAGGCACCACGAGCCTACCCTCCTCGGTTCCCAACTGGAGCGCCATGCCCAGAAATGCAACCCTGAATGAAGGCGGCAGCGATGTTTTTATACCGAAAAGTCGGGGCCTCGAGGAACCCAGGAGCATCAAGTATCTGCCCCAATTCTATGACTACCTGGCCAACCCATCCCGCTTCGATGTGAGCCTGATCTTTGGCAAACAGTTCCTGCAGGAGGGAGTCCGCCAGAGGGCCCTCAATAAGGTCCACAAGATGGGCTCCACACAGAGCAGCGGCGGGGGATTTCATCCACCACCTGGTTTCGAGAATTCCAAGATCTTTGCCCGCCTAAATACCAACAATGCAGGCATGCCACTGGGCGGAGTCAACTTGGAGGTGGGATCACCTCTTTACGACCGAGTTTGGATGATGAATGCAAAGTTACCACCCAGCTCCGCCGTCGAGGGTTCCTTTGGGATGCTGGGACTGGCCAGGAAACTCGGATCTGTGCAGCGTAATCCCCTGCAAATGACTCAGCTCTTCGGCAACCGATTGCCGCACAATCTGGTGCCCGGCGAATCCTTTGCAGGACCCTTTGAGGAGGTCCACCTGAATCCGCACGAGATGAGCTGCAATATTCCCGTGAACTATCTTTTGGCTGGCCGCTTGAATCTGCAGCATCCGAAAATGGAGGAGATGCAGGTGGAGCTGCTGTTCTACTTCTTCTACACCTACACCGGCGACATGATGCAGATGCTCGCGGCGGCGGAACTGGCGGAACGCGGCTGGCGCTATCACAAGTTCGAGCGCTTCTGGATCAAGCGGCAGGCGGACAACCCGCACTACTCGTACAGGGGCTTCCAGGAGTCCGGCGAGTACAACTACTTCAACATGTGCCAGTGGAAGATCCTGCCGCGCCACTTTCAGCTGGAGCCCGAGCAGCTGGAGCGCACGCTGTCCAAGGAGGAGCTGTTCGAGCTGCACGGCTACCATCCCCAGATGACGGGCATGTAAAGGGGATAGGATCCCCTGTAGAACCCAGTGATTGTGGTGGCCTTTCAATTTTTGATTTGCTGTCACATATTTTTTATATACCTAAAAACTGTTTTTTTAAATAAGACACTTTTATTTATAAATCTGTTTTTATAACCGTTTTATTAAATTAGTTATGGCGGTAGTTCGGTAATTATCATTCAAAGAAAATCATTTGGGACAAGTTCTAAAATGGGTTTTATCTCTAAAAACCTCCAATAATAATATTAATTTTCTGTTTAACTTCTTAACTATTTGTAATAATTTTTCACAATAAACTTTGTCTTTTAAAAACTCAAGAATAATTTTAATTTTCTGTTTAACTTCTTTACTATCTGTAGTAAATTTTTACAATGAGCTTGTTTTCACATAATTTATGGCATAGTTTAATTTACATCTGAGATGTAATACTTTCATACTTTTTAGAGGAATATTTATTTTGTTTATAACTTATAAATTATGAGTTATATTTTTCTTTTATGAAAATTTAATTTTAGTTTCACTTACGGATTCGGATATTTAATATTTTCAAAATTTTTGGAGGAATATTTTTTTTTTTTATAAATCATCTTCAATTAAATTTTACTAAAACAGCTCTATCCCTAAAATAAACCACCTGATTGCAATCCATACATGGATGTCCAACCCAAACCACCAGCAAAAGTGTCACCTTGCAGCCACCGACTGACCCACCGCCGAAAATCTGAGTCACCACACCCTCCACAAAAATGCCTTCGCACCGAAAAGCGCAGAAAACCACTGAGTACTCAGTACTCAGTACCACCTCTTTGGGGCTTGGCTACCCAAAGATACGAGCAAAATCGCAGCGCTCATTAGCAAAATGGAGCAGAGGCAGACGGACGGAGTTGGACATTTGGACACTTGGTCACTTGGCTACTTGGAGTCGCAGCTTTCCGCCCAGGCACGATCTCTTGGCCAAGTGTCGCCGTCATTTAGCCCGCTAATTGCCACGTAAATTTGCAACCATTTTTGGCAGCTCATTAAATTTATTATTAAAACAAAGGCTGGAGCAAAGCCAAGTTAATTGCCATCAAATTGACATGCGAGCCAAGACGACGAACGACAACACCCTCCTGAAATGGCAGCTTGGGATTCGAGCTCGCAACTCTGCGCATGCGTATTAATTGCCATGGAAACTTCATAATTTCATGTGGAAAAATGTGAACGTTAGGCGTGCTCGATAGCCAACCGCAAGTACAATGTGTAATTTAAGCGAGGGAGACTTAAAAGATTGGAGTGGAGCCCGGTTTTTGGATCTGTCCACTTGGCGGCTTATTTATGGCACGGCCAAGTTTGATTGAAATGTGTTGTCTGAGAAATTGACAACTTGGGTGAGATTTGCACGGCTTACAGCTGGATCGGTCCCGGTGTTTGGATTCGCTGGTTTGGCTTAGCTTTCGGGTTGGGTCACTTGGAGAATGTTTTAAAAAAATCTAACATGTTGGAGAAAATTAAATTGAATTATATTAAAAATTTTACTCCATTTTATCCATTCTGATTAAAGAATAGCAATTAATAAGTAATAAAATTATTTTTATTAGTTGATTTTACGGAAACTCTACCTTTACAAATTATAAAATCTGACTGAAATAAAGCTTCTATAATACAAACTTAATTATTCTAGCCTCCATCAAGTTCCAGGAAATTCAAATATTTAATATAGCACCTTATTTTTTCCACTGTAACTATCTAGAGCCAATTAAGCATGAATCATGCCCGAAAGACTCGTGGCAGGAGCAGGAGTTGTGCAACGATCGCTCTGATTAATAAGCCGCCCGCACATGGCCACGAGGAGTAGGCCGGGAATTAACCCCAGAGTCCCGATCTCGGGGAGCTCTTATAATACGATCGCGAGGCATAACCCCGGCGCACGCATGCGCAACTGCAATTACCGTTAGCCAAGCAGGAGGAGCGAGAAGCGAGAGACAGGTAGGGTGTCAACACGGTCGTAACTTGCAATCAACTTAAGATGACAGTGGAAATGAAGCATTGACGCCTCGCACGTACCACATACCATATCCATATGTATGTGAAGTCGGGAAGGAAGCCGCCGAGGAAAGTGCCAGAGCAGCCCCATCTCATCCCAGGGTCCACCGGTGAGTCCACTGGTGGGCTGGCGGAATAAAAATAAATATAAAAAGGCTTTGCTGCAATCAGGTTTCTCCTTCTTTTCTTGTATTTTCTTTTATTTTCCTGTCCACTCCACGAGTGGGTACCAAATTAGACACATTTTATTATTAAAATCCACTTGTGTTAAAATAAAACACGACTTTCTGTGTCGCACATAATGAAAATATATGGCAAGTTAATGCCAGAATTTATTTATCAGCACGAATGCACTGTGGGAAGATGGTCTTTGGAGTAATGGAAAACTATTTGGTGGAGAAAGAAGGTAAGGAACCTGAAAATGTTTGTATTCTCTAGGATTTTGCTATTGTTACCTCATGTGATATAATGGCAATTTTAGTAGGTAGTGCTTTTTATTTGAGATTAATTTAAGTTTAAAGTGTTTTTAAAATTGTAGAACGAATTTAACAATTAAATTAATAGGTTTCTAAGAAGGAGTTTGATATTAATTTAAGTGTAAAGTGTTCTAAAAGTTGTAGAATTAATTTTAAAGTTAATGAAGTAGGGTTTTCAGAAAGTATATATAGTATACCCAGTAAGTTCTAATAAAATATTTATTTCTTATATTTTTAGTACCACTTTGGAGCCTTGGAACATCGCCAGAATCTTCAAGACTCTTCCAGAGAATTTCTTTTTCGTGGTGGCTGCAACCTTAGAACGCCGACTTGGCAACAGTCTCCAAAGATGCAAGAGCGAAGATCAATGAACGCTGCGATCAAGGATTTTGTCATCGGGGGAGCGCTTTCATTCAAGTCACGTAGCCGTCTTTATGCATATATCAATCCGGCAAAGAAGAGAACCTAGCGATGCTAATTGCCGGAGCCAGAAGAGGCGTCTTCCTTTTGCCGGGCGAGGGCGAATTTGTAATTTTAATTAGTGGCCGGTCGTCCAGAGGGGGAGAACTCCACCACCATCTCCCATCGGCCATTTGCATGCGAAGATCGCGTCAGGTATATTTCGATTTTTTGGCTGGTATTTGCTTATTTATTGATTTATCTCTCGGCTTTTTCGGCTGATGCCACAGCGGTCGACGGTTTGGGTTCGATGTCTCATTCATCAGAGACGTCTGAGTGTCTGGCGACTTCGCTGGGCATTATGCCATAGCTATAGATATAGCCATAGCCATAGCCCTGGCAGGGAGTTCAAAGACACAACGGGACATTCAACCTGGAATGGGAATGGGGGAAGCGACAAGGCCACGCCAACGACACCACGCTCCACACACCCACGTGTGTCCAGCGGCTGGGGAGTCGTTGACCAGGCGGGTTGACTGAACTGGAGCTTCAACATGCAGTCGAAGAAACTATAGGGGGTCAACAAGGTTCATGGGTTATAGGTCGAAATAATTAAAGAATTTTAGAAAATTTATATTATTATTTATGATTTAAATTTATCATAGTATCAGAATATCCTAAATAAAAATGCACAAATTTATCAAGTCAGGGTAGATTTAATATTCTATAAATCTCTAATCAAAATTCGATTTGTATTTATAAATATTATTGTAATCAATAGAAATTAATAAAATTATTAATGCTCCATTTTTATAGATTTTAATTTCTATTATGTGTTATTTAGATCTTTTACAGGGTTAATTTTGGTTCTTAATGGTGTTGTTTGTATAAAGGAAGTTCAAAGGAAATTCAATATGTGTTTTAGGTATTTTAAAGTTAATTTAAAAAAGAGATCTAAATAATTAAAATTCGGTTAAAATCATTATTTATTTATAACTCTTTTTTAAGGGTTAGAAACCTACCATCATTAATTGGAAAAAATTTTATAGCCCTATAAAAGATGTTTTTGATTAAAGATGATTTTTTTCCAATTATTTTAAATAGAACTCAGTTTCTTTCAGTGCGGAAAACGGAAAAACATCCCGGGAAGAACTGTGTTTGCTGCCTGCCCCAACAAACGGCAAATTGCAGCAGTGAGAACTATGGGCCTGATTTGCAATTCAGCAGTAGAACAATACAATGGAACCCAGAGCATCCGCATCGATCGCGGAACGGAACGGTGATCTGTGATCGCAGATCGTCTTCCCGTAACAATTTCCCTTCTGCTTTATGCAGCATGCAGGGAATTAACGGATTTCGATCTGATCCAATCCAATCCAAAACCGATCCGGCGATCCCTCCAATAGCTGGCCACTGAACTGCAGCGGAGAAATCGATCGATCGATCGGTTCGGATCGATCGGAAAAAAGCGAGCAACACAAATGTAGGTGGTGTGCATATTAATAAAGCGAAAGTGCAAGAACCACAAAACAGCCGTTCATTGTGCTACAATGGAGTGCACCACCCCCACGGAACCATACTTCGGATACACCCCTCACATTTTCCCTTAGCATCTCTATCTCTAAACCGGCTGCATAATAAAGTTGCTACATTTCGAAGCGTTATATCTAAACCGGCATCTCGATATATCTCTCTGACCGGCTTATCTAAGCATTTTTCACTTTTTTCTGCTCACACGCAAATTTGTCAAAACAAAATCGCAAAATCTGTTTTGAATTTGTCAAGGCATACGGTCCATGTACCCGAACCGCAAGGATATTATGTAAGTTTAATTAGCATAAATGTGATTGATCCCCCAGACTCGGCAAGTTTTCTCGTATTATTTGATTTTTATTGATCTTTTTTTCCCGAATGAAATGCAAAAAAATGCAATTGCATTTTTCCGTTTTTGTTTTTCCTTTCCAATGCATTTTGTTGTTATGAATGCTGAACGTAACTATACTTGGAAAACTAAGCTCTAGAGACGAATTGCCTACCCTACTAGCTGTTTTTGAATGAAATCCATTGGGTATCTGCAAAAAAATAGATTGAGCAATCCAT